GTAGGGAAGACAGTGACTTCTTTTAACCTTTAATTATTGAGCAACTACAGATACATTGAACGTGCTTGAAGCACGTGAGTTTTACAGAAGTAAGCAGAAGTTATATGCAGATTTTTCAAATTCTAATATGTACTTTTTTTTTTCCCCGCCTACAGACATAGGGCTGGGCAGTGACTCTGTATGCGCACGTCCGTCATCTCATCGGATAAAATCTTTTGATTCTCTGGGATCCCAGTCTCTACACAGTAGAACTTCAAAACTCTTTCAGGGACAGTATCGGAGTTTGGTAAGTTCTAGAAGAAATTAAATGTGCTGTGGTGTGACTTGTTTCCTTTGACAAGATTTATAAGTAAACAGTAGTGTAGCAAAGTAACTGTTTCTTCTCTTTCACCTCTGTATTTCAAGCCTATAGCATTCTATTTTTGCAGCTTTTCTTAGGATGCTCTGAAATACATACAGCTTTCTGTGAACTTCTAATTATTTTTTTTTCCTCGCTTACCTCTCCATGTTGGCTGCATACATGGTATCTTCCTGGACTTGCTTTTTCAAAGGCAAAAAACTCATGTTCTCCATATCTGTGAGTTTAGGGATGGTGATTGAAGAATATTCAAACCTCAGCAAAGGGTGGTACTTTTAATGTTGGCAGTATTGGTAGTTATTCCTGTTTTCTGTTATTATTTCAAGGTGAATCCTTCAACTAGCCTTCATGTAACTGATTGGTATGGGCAGTTGTTTTACAGGACAGCCAAAATCAGGATGGACTACTGTATTGAAACTAACTGGGATGAAAGGTGCTTTTAGCGACTAAAAGGTTTGCAAGGAGGATTCAGATCCCTACTGTAAACTGCTTTTTCCATGCTTGAAGGAGGCTGTTTTGAACTACATGATGATTGCTGTGTGGAACTTTAAACAGTGCTCTGCTTAGGCTTTCTTAGGTGTGGTTTGATGTGTTTTCTCTGGTAGCAGAGCCCTTGCAAGTTCTTCCCCTAGGCCACTAATTCCAGCTCCCCCTCTGCTCTTCACCACCCACTCAGTTTTGCTGATGCAACTGTTTGTGGGACTAGCTGTTAGATGGATTACTGAATTAATCAGAGCGTTAAGTATTTCTATGACTTTGGTGATCTGAGCAGCTCCACAGAAAGTTACAAAGGGGAAGAGAAGTACAAGAAAGGGGGGAGGAAGAGAGCTAGTGACCAAACCTGGGAAATTCTTAGTTTGGTTCTGCTGCTGTAGATGATCAATTTGGAACTGTTCTCACTAAATTTGTGCTCAGTTTCCTCTACTAGAGGGCCATCCTGGCAGAGTAAAGGGACTGTAGTTCATGTCACTGTGCGATGTTGCTGCTTATTTTGTGGCTTCTTGCCGTTTACTAAGGCAAAACCTTTTCTTTTGCTGAGCAGTCAAAGCAGGCTAAAGCACATGATGTACAAGCAGAGGACTAAGGCAGAGGCACTTCCTTGAAAATGTGCCAATCTAATTGTCGAACATTGTGACTTACAGTATCTTGGGGCTTTCTGTATGTTTTCAGAGTTGCATTTGCCATCATTTTCCTACAGTTTCTCAGCCACTAAAAGTCTGATTGTTAAATTGAGTTGTGATACAATAACATGATTGCTGTGGATATGAATTAACTTGACTTATATGAACGTAGTGACATTACGTAGTACATCTTGTAATCATCTCAACTGTATAGACAACATGTAGGTGAAATTCTGCTACCTGGATAGCTGACTGGGTTCGCTTACACAGTCATTTTCTCACTAAGTCACTTTTTTAGTAATACAGCTGTTGATCTTTAAATCATGTCTGTCTCTACCATAAGTATAGTGCTGTTCTCCCACTTCCAGTGCAGTGGACTGTATTTGGATTATTTAAAGCTGCCCAGTTATTAAGCTTTTTTAGCATAGAAGTTTGTCCTAACTCTCATGAAATGCTTAAATCATGCAGACATTCAAAGTTGATATCTGAAACAAAATACCGAATTTGAACATCATTAATTTGGAAGACTTCTAAGAAGTAGCTGTTAACATTTAGTTGTTACAATAGAGTCACAATCTGCCTCATATCTGTGACAGGGGATGAGCGCATATATATATATATATATATATATGAAGAGCTGTGAGTTTGACATGCTGCAGACTTGCAGCTTTGCTAACCTCAAGGCAGATGATTTATGAGTAAATTTTCAAGGTAAATTGCATAACTGTTTCATAGGTTTTGTGGAAGAACATTGTCCTTCTCCGTTGGCAGGCTACGGAGACTTGCACATTCAGGTGTGGAACCTTCCAACCTGGCCTATTACGAGGAGCGGGGGGTCAAGTTTTAAGCTGGAAACTCTTTTTGTATCCAGCATTAAATTAAACTCAACTCAGTTCCGCCCTCCTCCCAGCCTGGAAAATTTTAGGAAAAAAACCTCTGTAGTGTAAAGCTGTTGTTTCTTTGTAGCTGCCAAAGGCAGTTTTAATTTATACTATATATAGAAAATAGAATTTGATTTTTCAGAGAATAAGAGTTATTCTCATTTTAGCTCTGTTACTCCCTTCTGATTTGAAGGGGCTGTAATAAGACAATATACTCCCTGGACTGATACAAATCCATAGATAAAAATGACAGAAAGGCTGGAAATGACAAGTCATCCCTTACAAATGCTTAGAGTAGAAATGTGTGGGGAGTGTTGTGTGTGGAGGAGAGGCTATTTCCATTTTATGGATACTTCTGTTCATGGAATAGCTGTTTAAATCTCTAACGTGATCTTTTTGTTCTTTGTATTCTCACTTATTAGGACATGACGGATAACAGCAACCATCAGTTGGTGGTGAGAGCAAAATTTAATTTTCAACAGACAAATGAAGATGAACTTTCTTTTTCAAAAGGAGATGTTATTCATGTTACAAGAGTGGAAGAAGGAGGCTGGTGGGAAGGAACTTTAAATGGCAAAACAGGGTGGTTTCCAAGTAACTACGTGCGAGAAATAAAATCAAATGGTGAGTTTTGAAGGAGAGCATATTTGCACAAATTCTGGGCTTGGGTGGAGGTTCGTAGTTGGTTGATCCATTAAAAATTGTAATGCTTTGTGTTTAAGCTTGACTGTATCACTGAATTTTATTCACAGCAATCGTTAACGTTCAGGAGCTCATACTCCCCCACCCCAGTTTGCTATATAGAGTGGTCTAGGACTTCTGAGTTAACAGTAGGCATGCAGAAAACTCCTCCATTCTGTTTGCTTGTCTGCCTGTCTCTGTCACAGTTGGGCTGCTCTGACTTCCTCGATCTGAATTCCTAGAATGCTGGATTTTGGCTCTGATGCTAACATGTTTTGATTTGGTGCTTTGGGTTTAAGTCCTAAGAGATTTCCTGGAAATGTCTTTAAAAACAACAAAACCAAACCAAAACAACCTCCTCCAAAACCAACAACAAACTACACCAAAAAATCTCTAAATATGTCTCATTACTTAGAAGCAAAAAAAAATGCAGAAAAAAATCCCCAGTTCTACTGAAATCTACTAAAAGTTAGAGACAGTTTTTGAAAGATAATGTATTTGTGACTTTTCTTTTTCCTTACTGTTCATGTGCCTTGCACTTTTTTTCATACGGACTTCACTCTTCCAATGAAGTTTTATTTTGAACTTCATGCAGTGAAAATGCCTTCTGTAAATGTCATCTTCATGACTGGATACTGAATATCAGAACTAGCATTGCTTCTTAATCCACCAAGACCTTGACAAGGGTGATGCCATCTTTCCCCCCCCCGCTTCTCTCTTTCCCATCTCTGCTTGCTTTCAGAGACTGGGGATAAACCTGGTAGGATAGAACTACCCAGGGATGCTCTGAGAAGCTTTACCCTTCTTTCCCTTGTCACAGCTTCAATCAAAACATACATCTTTTGGGCCTTGCTAAAAACCATTGGTATGACTTTTTTTTTTTTCAGGCAGCCACACAAATATGAGATTGCAAACTGAATTTGTGAGGGTAAAACTTCATTTTTAAACTTAATCTTTTCCCTCCAGTTGCATCCTCTTATTTTCTTCCTTGATTTGCTATTTACAGTCAGTTTTTGCACAAGGCTAGAGTCTTCGATCTGTAACTTTGTTGTTTAATTTATCAAAATACTAGTTTTAAACTGCTTTTATGCCTTTGTAGGTATGTGTTTGAATTGTCTGAAGCTGACCTTTTCATAATGAGGATGGGGGGGTGGTAGAGGAAGCATGACATATTGAGAGCTTCATGATGTCTGTTAATAACTCTTCTTCCCTATTGAGTTGCAGATCAGCTTTCCCTTTTGATGTACGTATGCTGTGGAATGTTTTGTTGCTACTACCATTATGTCCATGTTAGTTATATTTCAACTGGTGACCTGACTTTATCCAGTTACTTCTGCTTCTCTTTGTGTGTTTGAGGTGACTGTAATATTTGTGATATTTGATCATGCCAATTTGCATCTACTTTTCCTGTTCTTCCTTTGAGATGCCCCTAATTTTTAAAGGGCTTGGCATTCTTGTGAGCCTTTTCTTCTTGCATTGTCACTAGTGGGAATCCTTTTTTTACCCATATTTGTAAGTTTACTGCTTTCTTCTTACTTGACGTGCATTGTTCTTGTTTGCTGCTCTCCCCTTCTGTTTCCCTTTCTTGGTTGTTTCCATTGAATTTGTTATGAACATTTCTATTCTCAACTGATTTCTGCTTTGTGGATACTGCTCAAGGGGCCAGAGAAGGCTTTTCTATCATTCTCCTCCCTTCTGTATCAAAGTGCATTGCTGCTGCATTCTGAGGTTGGACTTCCTTTGTTCTGTTGTCCTTGTTGAAACAGGAATGTAGTGCCATTTACCACAAAGCTCTGGTTACATGCATGGCTCTGGTGGGTGTTCATAAGTTTCATCTAGGTTGTATGTATGAGTTGACAGTCTCTGTTGCACTCCTGCGCCCCTGCTCTTTTTTGCTAGTCTTCATTAGATTGGTTGACATTTCTTGAGTTGGTAGTCTTTCAATGTCCATTTTTCCTGACTTTGTGGCAACTTTATGTACCTCACTTGAAGATTTTTCCTGCTTCAGAAATGTTTTCAGTATCTTCATGCTTTAAGCATGAAGTTAAAACACAAAATGCTTTTCTTTTCCCCCCCAGTGTATTTTAAAACAAGTTAGTAGAACTTGCAAGCTCAAATTCAAAATGTGTTTTCTGTCAGTGTTATAATGAATTGATTTAAAAATTATCAAGATGGGGTTGTTGAAATACTTGCTCTTGATTAAGGTCTCTCTATGAACAACATGTTCATCCTGGACATCTAATTGGTTCCCAAAATACGCTGTAAAATGTTCTGGCATCGACAGCATGACGCCACCTTTCTTCTCTCAAATGTGGCTGAAAGTACTGCAACTAGCTAGAAATTCTGTACAGGCAACACTGTGTGTTATCATTTTTGATGATGCTTTATTTGGAGAACTCCTGAGAACTGGTGGGTTTGATTAAATAAATCCCTTCAGTCTGCTGAAACCTGCGGCAAACTGGGTAACAGAAGAAAGGAAAAGTTCTTTATGCACGTGTGGTTTTGTTTTAATTCTCACAAAATTCATAGATGTTAGATGTTCAGATAAATGGATTTTTGTTCTAAATTAAAATACCCTCTAATGTCAGATAACTTTATGTTTGTAATCTTAGCTTGTACAGTTGCTCTGAAGTTAGATATTCAAGGAAAGGAAGAAAGAGCTAGGAAAAGAAGCTGAAAAAATATGGGATAATACAAGATTATGATATAGCGGTAGCTCTCTTTCCTGAGAGAGAATTCCAAATACTGGCTGTATGAAAGAGTTGCCATGAAGGAAATGAATGGTCAAATTCGGTGTGCTGCTTAGTAATGGGAACTGCCTTTATCCACATTGCTGTCTTAAAGATTTTAGAAGAAAAGGAAAGTACATAACATGCTCTGCTTGTGCAATATATGTAACATGATAAGGTATCTCAGAGCAGCTGAAACATTACCAGGCCATGCCCATGTTTGCTACTTTGTAATATGTTTGCTTAGCTATGCTGGAATGATTAGTGTTAGCACAGAATGCTAATAGGTGTATGAGGCAAGCTGTGGATGGTGCTAGGACAGATACTGAGATTACTGAGCAAAGCACAGCGTGTAGTTTTCTTAGGCTGGACAATGACACTGTAAACTTTGGGGAAATAGATTTGGTTGAGCTGGAAAATGATTTTTATTTTGCTTTTGAGTGTGTGTTGAGGCTTTCCTCCTGCCCCCTGACCCAAGGAGAAAAGGAGGATTTGTTTGAAATTGTGGTAATTATGATCAAACTTATAAATAGAAGGAAAAAATGCAGTAGCAGTTTCTTTTCAGTTATGTGCCTATACTGTAAGGATCAAAAAAGATGGTTCATCTCTCTCTCTCTCTCTCTCTCTCTCTCTCTTTCCCTCCCTGTGCGCATGTTTTCATTTCCTTTCTTAAATCCTGTAACATCTTGCTTTTTCTGTTTAATGTTCTTTGATCACTAGTCAGGAAGTACTTTGAAATAAGAGGACTTTATTTCCATCCTGCCGTACTGTTACACATGACAGAGGGTAAAAGATTTATACTGTGTAAACTTGTTAGATGTTTGACAGCGTGGCCTTATTGAGGTTTTTATTGTATGAAACAGAGCAAGGAGCGGTGAAGGTGTAGGTGGAGTCTTGTCACTTACACTACCCCTTCTGTCTTGCACAGTAGAGAGATTTGGAGGCTTAGTTTTGAGAATTTCCTTGTGATAAAGAGAAGAGGGGTTAGCCAGAATGGGATGCATTTGCTTAGTTGCTGTCAGACATTAATCAAATTTTTAAAAAATCACATGGTCACTTGCTTTTTTTTTTTATCAAAGTGTAATCCATTTAAATGGCATGAGATTATGCAGAAGGGAATATAGCTTTGAAAAATGACATTTGATATGTCACAAACGTTATTCTAATTCTTCACAGAAATTAACGTGTCATTACTGTCCTAACCTCTCTTCTGTTACGCTTTCTTGACAGTGCGGGCCCAGTGTGTATTACAGGTATTTCAATTTTAATGATTTTTCTTGTTAGATGCTTTAAAAAAAAAAAAAAAAAAAACCAACAAAAAACATAGTGTGGGAAAAGGACAGAACAGAGTGGAAGACTCTCCTGTTCCCATCCTGTGATGCATGATAGAAGGACAGATGCACTTTTAGCTTTTCAAAAAAAGAGAAGAAAAAAAAAAGGAAGAAAAATCTATCAAGAATGCTAATTTTCCTCTCCCCAGCCATGTACGCTTGGAGGGCTATTTTTTTCTCTTGTCAAGTGTTACTCCACAGGCTATACTGAATAGAATAGAGTTTGGGATAAGTCAGTACTACTAGGGTAGAAGTGTTGATAGCGTCGACATTGCAGAGTGGAACATGTTGCAGCAGCACCTGAACCACCTGGAGAACCAGGAACAAGTTTATGTCTGCCTTCCTGGTGGTGGCCTTGACCTGATTAGAGACAGAGCTTGCTTGTAGCACTTCACTAATAGGGATCACATAGCTTTTGGTGTCCCAGTTGGCACATCTTTTCTCCCATACTATAGGAAATAGCCTCTAGACTGCACCTAGGTTACACGCGCTGTAGCCTAGTAATAGAAACACATGGTGGTGATCTTGCAGCAGTACAGTCGAAACGCTTTAGTAAAGTATATCCTGAAAGAGTGCTCTGTGGAGTAGCATGAAGTAGACTGTTGCATGAAAACGAATATAACCTAAACTGGAGACATGACAGAAGAGAGATAGGAGGGAATGTGAGAATGACAAGTAATTTGAAGGTGAGTAAGAGAAATACTTAGACATTAATGACAACAGAATGAAACAAAACATTGGGAAGGATTGGGTGAATTATCCTTTTACAGCCACTTATGTAGATGTTTGTAAAGGTTAAGAAAACTGTACTTCGTTTTAGACAGTTGGTGGCATTTTATGTACTGCTTAGGGAAAGGTTACTGAAGCAGCTGCTCTAAGTTGTTTTAGTTATACTGAGAATAACTATTTGCTGGAAGAATAATGTTAAGAAGCCTGTGCCAACTTTCCTCTCCACCCAAAGGTGATCTATTAAGTGAATTCTATCTGGTTAATCACTAGCCACTAGACACTTCAAAGCATTATCAAGTGTAGCTGGGTGCAACTGAATGTAATGCTTTGATCAGGAAAGAAACTGATAGTGGTAACTTACCTCTTGGTTTCGGTCATCAGTAGATAGGGTCTCTTCCAGTACTCGGGCAGATGCTTGTTTGCTTTGGATTTGATCATATGCTGTACATGTATTCATTGGATTCTCAATGTTACAGACTTACATTGGGACTGGGGGGAAAAAGTAGGGAGAAGGGAATAATCTTCCATATGGGAAAACATGGTGTCTGGCTCAGGTCACTTGCTCTGTTCCCTTCCAGTGCTTTGAGAAACAGAGCTTATATGTTGGAGTGGGCAAGGTGCTAGGGTTTTGCTAATGTTTCAGAAACCTGTGGACTTCATAGACCTATGGACTTTATGTGTTCCCAGTATGCTGAATTAGGATGATACCTGCTTGAAATGTTTAATGAATTATGCTATATGTTTGCAAAAGCACTCTAATGTTCTCTCATGAAGGATAATAAAATAGCACTTACCTTTGTTTATGCTAAGAAAGTGATTTCTTATGTGCGAGATCAGGATTTTCTTCTGAGTAATGCGTTGTGCAATAAGCTAATTGCAACAAGACTGTTTCTCATTCCTCTTTATGAAGCGAGGCAGTGCTTGGAGGCAGAATACCAGACGTGATAGACAGCTGGGCTGATTTGCTGTGTCTAATTCTGTGTTTCTACAATAGAAATGGCCTTTGCATTTTAAAAGCTGAATGTTGGTTATGGCTGTTCAGGCAAAATGATTTGAATGTGTGATTCTTTTTTGTGTCCTGTTTTTAAATTTGAATTTGATCATGTCTTTCTGATGGATAACGGAATCAGCTGAACAGCTGGTGATATAGACGACTATGTATTTCAGCAAAAAAAATCTCCCACTTCAGCAGTTCAGGAGAAGGAAAGGTTAGGGGCAGAGATATATTTTTACGCCCTTTAAGATTACAAAGTAGCTGGAAGAAGAGCCAGATTTCTATGACCAATCAACTTTCTCCAGATTAACAAGGGTCAGGCATCTGTATTATGATAAAATGCAGTGACAAGTCCTTACCTTTTTTCCTTAAATAACTCTGGTTTCTCCTTTCATGCTTTTTGGCACATAATTAATAAACCTTTAGGTATTTAGTGAACCTGAAAGTCACTGTAAATTGTAGGATAAGTCAAGAGCTTCCACAGAGAGTGAAAGCAAACTACCAAGTTTGTGTAAACTGCATCATTTTCATCATTCGGTACAAAGAAACAAATTGTAATTGTCCCATAAATGAGTAGCGTTATATATGAATATATAAATGGGTAGCCATACATATGACATGACTTTAGGTGCTTCTTTCACGCTGAGCGTTTGATGACAAATCTGCTTGGGTTTATGGTTTTGTTTAAAGAGGATGGGAGGAGTCCTGTCATTTGGAATTACTTGGCTGTAGAGCAGAGCGCGTATGTACTGCAGGGCTGGTGGCTGAGAGCATCAGCGTTCCCAGCTGAGTAACTGCTGGGGCTAACGGGTTTTGTGCTGCCTGTCAGCTTATAGCTGAACTTGGAGGGGGGGGGGATATTAACCAAAAGGATTTTACTGTCATCTCTGAATATGGTAAGGAGAAATGTTTTTCCCATGTTTGGCAGTTTTAAGAACATATTTTATTTTTAGAACAGCTTCTTTGAGGAAAGTTCCAGGGCAATACAGAGAAAATCCCCTCAAAGATACCACATGTGCTCTTGGGGCCTGAGCTGCTCCTTACAGACCGTTAGCTAAAGTCTCCGCTCCAGCTGGCCTGCCCCGCGCTCCTGGCACTGGAGACGAAAGGGTGGCCTGCATCTGCACTCTGCTCGCCTGAGATTGCAACATGCACGGGGCTGCACCTGGGCAGCCTGAAGAAGCACTAAATTACCCTGGATATAGTCCAGCAGAGGCTGGTACCACATGGGCTGTTCTGCTTACGGTGGCGTTTCCCTGGTTGGCTTTACCGACCACGGGAATTTCCCCGTAGCTGGCTCTTAGCTTGGCTGACGAGGCTTCTCCTGGAAAGGCTGGTTTGTGTTTGAGACTTGCGTAATTTATTCTTGGTGGCCTGAAGTATCAGGTAAACTAGAGTTGAATTATTCATGTAACTTTATTAAAATGCATTTGAAACTGGAGCTTAAAGAGCTTGCTTTTAAAATAAAGGTAAAACTTTCCATAGGTATGTTTTGATGATGCGTCTTTTCTTGTGGTTTTTTGTTTTGTTTTTTTTTTTGACAGTCTGCCATTTTATTGTTTGGATACAAATTGCTCAAATCCTTACTTGAAATTTGCATATTAGACAAACCTGCTTATTTAAAAAAACAAACCGAAACACCATAATGTCCTGATAAATACAGTCTCACAAGCATTCCCTGTTGGTTGTATGCAAAGTCAAGCGCAACAGGTCAAAAAGAGATGCTGTAAATCTTACTTGCTGTTTCTCCAGTATGCAGCATGATGCTTTTAATTCTCTCCTCTCAACTTTGCTCATCTGTCATTGACTTAGGGAAATGGTAGAGGTGGGAGGGGAGGCTTTAGGAGTGTTTTCTCTGTGCGGCTCCATTCTGGGAGTCAGCACTTGGGTTACTGTCAGGCCTTTTGTTTTGATCTTGCACATTTAAGTTGTCCTTCCAGGAGCAGTGTATGTTATGGAGGGGTAAATTCACTATGGGATTATAGGAAGGATTGCATTAATTGTTACGATGGACTCTGTTCTCAAGTGCATAAGCTTTTTTTTTTTTTAACTTCATAAACAGTAAAAGATAACTTGTTTCACTCCACTACTTGTATAGTGTTTTGATTCTCTGTTTCAGCCAGACTGAGTGTAACGTCCCACCTCTGGTATGTTCAGCCCTTGGTCACTTGCTTTTACTGAGTTCATTAAATTGATATTAAAACGTAATACTACTTTTGTTTGAAAGCGTGTGTAGTGTTTGGAAATGCCTGGGTTGTTTTTTTTTTTTGTTTTGTTTTCTTTAATTGCAGTCCGTGATAACGTTTTGTTTTTTAAAAAACAGTTTTGGAAAAGCTAATTTTATTAACTTACTTTTTGGTTCCAGGAAAAAGAATGGGAACTTTTCTACCCGCCTTCATTGAGGCTAGTGTTTCATTCATTGTGAACATATGAACCATTTTGATTCTTTACCAATAATTTCAAGCACAAGTATGTACGTTTCTCAGTGAAGCACTATTTTCACTGTATCTTATGATAGATATTTTAAAGCAGTTTGTTTGACCTCTAGTGTTGAGCTATAAAATTGCACCCCATTGACACAAAAATATCTTGCATTTCAGAAAAACCGGTCTCCCCCAAATCAGGTACATTGAAGAGTCCACCTAAAGGCTTTGATACGTCTGCAATTAACAAAAGCTATTACAATGTGGTGAGTGGTCCTTTTTCCTCTGTGTGAACTGTTATATACAGTAGAAAGTCATTTAACTAAATGCTCTTATATGCATAAAAAATTTGGCAGTCCTGTCAGACCCTTAGTACCAAAACTAGGTAGAGGTTTTAGTGAATTCTCATACAAACAAGATCATTATTAGTTTAACAGAATATCACACATATGGATTCTTAAGCATAATGCAAAATTATAGTCTAAAGTAAGTGAATAACAGGCATTTCTGGCACATACTGTGCTCACTTTGTTTGCTTTGCTAGTTGTTGATTTCCATTTTCTACTGTCCCCCAAATATGCAATCAGTCTTCCCCAGTCATTATAAATTAATGAAATTCTGCGGTGTTAAAATGATTAAGAATATTTTTGTCCCTTTTGTTGAACAAGAGACTGAACATTGTGAATTAATCCTTTTTATTCATGCTTATAAGTCAACTCAACTATTTACTTTGGGAACCTCTTCCTTACACTGATGGATAGATTTCGCAGCAAAAGTGGTATAGTATAGCCAGAGTCAGCCTTTAACACCCCCCTTCCTCCCCCCCAGGTATATATAACCTAGTACTCGGACATCTGTAGTAGATGCATGTAAGAAACATACCAAACTCTGTGTTTAGATGTGTTGCTGTAGTCATTTTGAGAATCCTTTATTTGCTAACAGTAGGTAACACTGGGAAGCAAAAAGTATCTTGCAGTTTTTGTTAACCACTGCTCCCTTCTGGTGTAAAACCAGAACACAAGGGGTTTTTTTCCCCTTTTCTTTGAAGCAGCTGTCATTGTTTTTATTTTTTTTTTTAGTGTGTGTCAGTTTTTAGCAGGGATTATAAAGCACAGTTTTATGCTTTCATCTCTTGCGGTTGTGGCATGAATAACACCAACCACCTGGAAGAACAGAGCAGTTTTGCATATAGTACCCTAACTGAAAACAATGAAGCCACCTCCTGCTCCTCCCAGTGGTGTGCCTGGTGCCTCAGTCAGTAGCCATAATTCCATGGTAAAGGGAGGGCTGTGAGTCTTTGGCTATTGTATCCCACACCTGCTAGTCACAATGGAAAGTACCTATGCAGGCATGCCTTCCTTCAGACTGCAGGGAGTAATGCTCTTACTGTGGTACATCCAGCAAGAGAGTATTGGATAGTTTTCCTTTTTATTGTTGTTTTTCGCTATATCTCTTCATAGTATTTTTTTTTCGAAGTTGCTGTAGTCTGTAGTAGTAAATATGTCTTCTCTATTGTTAAAACCTATGTTATTCAATGCAAGTAAACGGAAATGAATGCAGCAGAGGATTTAGTTCCTTCACTGGGTGTTCTTGCTTAAGTTTAATCTATATGTTGAATTTTTAATCAAAATAAATTGGCAACTCTCTTGAACACTAGTCCTTTAGATTTGGGTTGGTTTTGAGTGTGGGATTTTTGGTGTTGCTTTTTTTGTTTGTTTTTTTAAAGTCAGTGGTAAATACATGCCTCATATATAATCTTATATTATTGTTTTCCTGATAGATGTTAATATGATGAAAAAAAAGAGTTGCAGCTGTTTAATTTGGGCTTAACGGAAATTCCAGTTTGGCTGTGTCCAAATTGAATTGAATCTTGTGGTTGCATATTTTGCTTTGTAAGTGTAATACAGGCCATTTTGGGGGTGATAGTATACGTCAGTGAAAACAATAGGAAGCAAATGTCTGAATTTGCCTAAAACCATATTTGTGGCGGTTAAGTTATAAAAGGCCATACAGTTTTGAAATACCACCTTTGGCTTGTGTGATTTTTATATTTGTTCCCTGAATAACCTATTATCATCATCATGGAGACTCAAGCTACAATTTAGTTTGGGAAACAGGTAGTCATAGCTGGTTTTTAAAGTAGTTTAATTAAAAAAAAAAAAAAAAGTTGGAAGTGATGACCATCATACCTACTCTTGGAGTTGGGTTATTTTTCATCTTGCTTAGGTGCAACTTGGTGCACTAAACTGATGTAAGGAAGATTCCCACTGTTTTGACTGATAGCTGTTCATGATATATTGCATGGCAGATGGGCGTGGAAATGACCAGTTCATAATAAGATTAATAGTAAATTAGAGCACTGGCCCTAGAATGCTGTTCTTAAATCCTTCTGCAATGAATTAGATAATTGTCTTGTTTTCACATGTTTCCACAGTGTGGCAGAGATATCTGCTTTCTTTTAACCTTACAATTGTATTCTTTTTGTTTAAAGAATGAGAGCCTGTGCTGTAGCATGTACTTTGTTTCAGAGAAGTAAGTCTACTGCTGTGCTTAAAACCTAAATTAGACTAGCTGGCACCTAGGTTTTCTTGAAAAATACTAAGATCTTCTGATGGCATTATAACTGTAAAATAATGATTTTTAATAATTATTAAATATGTAATGAATTTTACATGTATATAAGACAGACAGCAAACGCATTCACTGAAGTGAAAGCAGTTTAACCCGTGTGTTGAGTTTTTGTTCTAATACGTAAGCTTCAGACATGGGACTTCCCTGTGCTAGAAGTCTTATCATCAGTCTGCACTGATAACAAAATTGAGCCCATACTAAGGTAAAAACAGAACAGCTCCAAATAAACCTTTGGCAACTGGTAGCTAAAAGGATGTAGCTCAAGTTAAAATCTGTTAAAGACTCTCTTGACAACCAAGCATGATTTGAGGCTGGAACTCTGGGACTGCTTGCTATTTTCAAGTTGTGGCTATCTTCTACCATACGGGTGTGTGCTGAGACCCTGTAAACCTCATGCTTATTTATTGCTGTTTTTCCTAGGGAAGGATTTATGCAGGTGCAGGCAGCACCTGTGGGTACGTTCGTCAGACTGATGACAAGAATGAAAGGGCATTTCAGAGGAAGTTCAGAGAGTGGTAGGAGAGGCTCGAGGCTGCTAATCTCCCTTTCTGGGGGAAGGGCTGGGATAGACTACAGGAAAGGTGTTTAATGTAAAGCGGAGACTGCTTTCACCGCTTTCCTTTGTTCTTTACCCCCTTGTAAACGTATTCTTTATTTTTATGGATTCACAGAGCTCTGTCTGAACTTCATAACACAAATCACATGCTTTCTAGTCTCAGTGTGCTTTATTAGCTGCACCCTGCACTAGGTGTTGCTGAGAAGACAGAGCACGTTTGGTTTATGCTTACATTTTGCCTGGCTTGGGAATGCAGGTTAGCAGAGAATCATAGAGTAGTTTGAGTTGGAAGGGATCTTTTAAAGGTCACCTAGTCAAGCATCCCTCTGCAATAAGCAGAGACATCTTCAACTAGAGTTACTGGTGCTACAAGGTCTTGTTCTCCATAAAATGGTACGAGTCTACAGCAGTGTGTAATATGAAGCAGACTCATGATCAAGCATGAGGCATTTTTCATGTAGAAGTAATTTAGTAACCTGTTGCTGAAGTAGTGGGCGTATTATTGCAGGTTTATTCCCTAAAGACAGAGCAGGCGTTACTCTGATTTTTATTTTTACTTGTTAATTCCTTGAGAACTTAAAATTTTGTGTCCAAAATAAAATTAGGTTATTTCCACTTATAGGACAATTGCCTTGAGATTAAGTAGTTGTTTTAAAAGCAGGTAAAGAAATGGGCAACTTTCTCCATAGCATGAGTATTTGCATACCTCATTTTACATTTAAGCGTTTGAGAAGTGGTAGAAAATAAGCTGTCCTTTCAAGGCCACACTTTTGAAGTTGGGTCAAGAGTTTGTGTTTACTGAAGTTCATAAAAGCTTTTGAGGACCCTTGAGATATGGTATACTTGTATGGTGCTTTACGTTGCCCCTCTCGAGAGCCTGTTTTAAGGGGTTCATCTCTCAGATTGTCACGATCCAGGAAAATTAGACATTGATCACCATTTTGCTGAAGTACATGATATTTCAGTTGAGTGCTATACTACTCCCATAAAATGGGACTGTGCAACAGGATCATGCCCAAGTGTAGCTGTGAAATCTGCCTTTTCTCCCTCTTATCTGGAAGGTGATCAGCTTCATGTAAGTGACTTAAAATCCATTTTTGGGTGGTAGTTTTTGCCCTAGGGAGACGGCTGGCATTTTGTGTGTCAGAGTTGTTAACCGTGCTTGAATTTTCCATGCCGTGTGATTGAGAGAGCTTGTGCTGTATGAGCTCAGTTGTCTGTGCCTGCCATTCATCAGTGTTACGGATTTCAAAAGCTGCCACTTCAATGCTGCTCTTTGGGTACCCGGTCTTCTCTGTCCAAATGTTGTGGTAGAGTTGTGGAAACAAGGTCTTCGAGGTCTCATGGGGTCTTGCAGCAGCCAGAACGCACAGAAAGCAGGAAAGGGAAGAAAGGTGATTATTAGATCATGCGGGCGAGATGTGGATGTGAGGAATGTAAGGGTGCTCTGGTGCCAAAATACTGAGTTGCAGTGCTGACTGCTTACTGCTTCAAAGCACAGTCCAAGCGTTTAATCCTCAGCTTCTCCGTGAGGTAGGTAAGTCAAGCTGGAAGGATGTGAGATTTCACAGAACTGATGTTTTAGTTATGTAAGCAAGATTATTCTTTTAAAAAGGTATTCAAAGTAAAAGAATCTTATAAGCAGTGGAGCCTGCACTTTGGGGCGGGGGAGGAAGGGAAATAGATTTAATGTGTTTTGGAAACTATTTTAAACTATTTGTATATCTAAAGTGTAGTGTAACATTGTGAACTACTGGAATAACATAATGCAGTAAAGTGTATCTGGTACTCTGCATAGGTTTTGTAGCATAGTTTTATTTACAGCTGCATTTGTTTTTCCAGTAATTTATCAGCTGGCTAATTCTAGTTCTTCAGCTTTTCCATTCTTTTTTGTTGGTTTTTTTTTTTTCCTCTTTTAAGTCTTCTTCCTCCAATCCCATATTCTTCATATTGCAAAGAAAATCCTCAAATAAAAATCCAAACCACCACAGGAAAGTAATGGAGTTGTCCAACATGCAACTAGTTTTATTTCAAGCTTTTCGGAGAAAGAAAGGCAATAGCAAAGAATGGAAGTACTCTTCAAGAAAGTGGAGCAGTAGTGCAGCCTTTCAAGATTTCTAGCGAATTTGTTGATTTTTATCTTTAAATGTGTTTTAATGCTGTTCAGTGTTTCATCAGGACACCGTCTTTTTGTCCTTGGCTTTCAGTCTCCTTTTCCCTACTAATTGCTGTGTAATGACTTTGGGCTGGGAGATTTTTGTAGGAAAAGCCATATTGGAAAAGATTGGTCTTGCATTTAGTTTTGAACCTCAGGGATCCTAAGTACTGTCTTATCTAACAATTGACTTTTATATATGTGTAAGAGAATATGGGGTTTAATTAGTGCTGTGATCAATGGTATTTTTTTTCCTCTTGGTCTAAGTGGGCAAAGAAACCTTAGCTTTTTTAAAATTTGTGTGCCCATATTGTACTTTATGCTGTAGTTTCCTAGTTAGTAGTCATAACTTTGCCTGTGACATTCTTCTGTCATAGTGTTTAGCAGAGAATGGAGACATTTTAATCTTCAGTTCAGGATTCAGATTTCCAACAAAAGAATGAACTCAAAAGTGGTCTTTTTCCCTCTCTCCAAATGAATAGAAGCATTCAAGGAATAAGCAGAATCAATGACACCAATGAAAGGAACAGTGAATTCTTCATTGACATACTGAACTATTTAAAGTTATTTCATCAGGTTTGCATTTAGGAATGAATGGCTTTTTTTATTTCCTAAGAAAGAGTATTGACTACAACACTGAATAATGCACTCAATTACAGTCGTTACTATAAATGCTGAAATGAGATATTACTGTAGTCTTGACAAATATGGCATGTAGCAAAATGAGAAGGTTTGGTGTGGCTTATGACCAGTGAATAGCAAAAAGTTTTCAAAGCTCAGCTGTGTTCATTGAACTGCATTTAATTCTGATGATTCTCTTGCTAAATCATTAACTTCTTGGAGGCAAAAAGTAACTCACTGGCTAGAAGCACAGTAGAATTTGATGTGAACATATTGAAGGATATCCTTAAAGCAGGCTCCCAGGACATGGCCCAGTAAAATGTTTTCCTGTGCATATTTGGAGGTATTCTAGTTGTTTGATTTATGTTCAGCCAAAAAAACAAGCGTGTGCTGTGTTTTATGAATTCTTGGCCTTGCATCAGAATCTGTTGTAGTTTTCTCGTGGTAGTGTATACTATTGCACTCCCAGGGGAAGGTTAGGCAGCCCTATTTAAAAAGAATGCAATAATGCTAATCATATTGCTAAGTAAAGTTGGCACTTGATATTTGTAAGTCTGTTAATATCCAGACCTTCTAGATAGAACAGCGCATCTGCATAAGTAAATGCTTTGCTAACAAGATTAGTTGCAATGTGTTGTAATTGAGACTGAGAAAATGACACTAATTGTTCATTTCTTATACAACTTCTATTGTGCTTTACCAACCTCTGATGATCTTTGACTGTTCTGAAGTACACAGGAAGAATAATTACCCCTAGCTTTGGAAGAACACTATATAGCTTTCAAATTTTACAGTAAAAGTTGTAAATGTAGTGGAATTCCTGTTAGCTTACCAGTTTTTTGTGTATGGCTAAAGGATGGCTCATTGTGCATGTGTGGTGGTTTTTTCATAGATGTATAGTATTCAATGCTTTCTTGCTGATATTTAAATTTTAATGTAGGAACATTTAAGTTTTCCTAGTGCTAAGTAAATTTTTGTATGCTTTAAAACTTCAAAGTGTTCAGATCAATACCAGTATCTCTTAAATACCAATTAGCAACTGTCATTTATTGTAGGTGCTACAAAATATATTAGAAACAGAAAATGAATATGCTAAGGAGCTACAAACAATGCTTTCAAACTACCTGCGACCATTACAAGCCAGTGAAAAGTATGTGAGTTTGGTTTGTTTCTTAAATTAAATTTGAGATCTCTCGTGTATTGGGTGGGGTTTACATGGTCAAAATTTCAATGTCGATGCGCATTTTCTTGTGTGGACTGTGAGATTCTTGAGGCAGAGCTTGCTTAAGAACCAGTAAGCATTTTCTTTTAATGCTGTAGGTTTTATTAAAGCACAGTTGGTAAATAACTACAAACCTGAACACCTTTTATTTACTTTGGCTCCAGGTTAAACTCGGCAAATACTTCATACTTAATGGGAAACCTGGAAGAAATAAGTTCTTTCCAGCAAATGCTTGTACAGTCTTTAGAAGAATGCACCAAGTAAGTACTATGCATACCAGATACTGTAAAATTCTAACAAGCAAATATTTTTTATTATTTTACTTGTTGTGTATACTGTTTGTCATAATTTTTGTTCCTCTCACTTTAAGGATTGTTGCTGTAGCAGTGCAGTAATAGAAGTTTGGGTAATGCATTGACTGCATACTAGGGCAAATATCTATCTGTGTAAGCAATTGAAGAGGTAGGAATTTTGATGTAGTTTGAAAACAATTTATGAATTTCCATGATGCAATTGCACACCAGTGGGGAAGTGGTAGAGAAAGTGGTGGGTTTTGTTTTGGACGCATGAATTTTAAGTCTTTTCTTAAAGTAAGAGAAAGAATAAATGGAGCTTTTGTTGTGATGCAACAGTGGAGGATGAGACTTGGTATGTGACTTGGATGAAGGATGCTGTATGAAAATGCTTCTGCTTAGTATTCTTCTGTCCTGAACAATGGTGGTTGTCAAAATGTGCTGGGAGAGGCATGTAGAATAGGCAGATAGACCAATCTGTTTAAAAAAAAAAAAAAAAAATCCTCAATGCTTGCACTGAACCATATATGAAGCACAGAAAAAAAGGGGATGAAGACACCTCTTCTCCTTCCATAGGTTAAGCTAAAGTGGTAGCTGGATATTTTTCAGCTTGTACCTCAGCACTTGGGGATGTAAGAAGAAGGGGACCGTATCCCATTTGAATTGTCCTAACAATTCTCTAGTGTTGAAACTCCGCTGACAGTGTAGTTCCTGTTCCTAACCTCAGTTGCATCCGTTTCCTTGCCTGTGTTCTGGTTTTGTCTGACTACGTGGTGAGCTAAGGCAACTTGCTAATCCAAGTTTGCTTGTTTTCTGCCAAGTTAGTAATTTGAATGGTACTGAGGGCTTAGACAAGTTTCAGTCTGCTGGGAGTACTTGGCTGTGAGAAGGAATGAATGTCTTGGGTGGAGGAGAAAGTGCCTCTTCTGGCAGCAGTGATCTAAAGATAAGCTCAATGTGTCTTATTTTGACCTCTTCCTCCACTTCTGCTCTAAGCTGCTCCATATGAAGATGGAGCTTGGTCATGACAAAGTGGAAGCTGCGTCTCCACTAGGCAGTAACGTATGTCTGGGTCTGTTACTGACTTTGGATCCCACGTCCTCCTACCACCTGGCTTCTCTCCCTCTCTTCTGCCTCTAGACAACTTAGACTGGAATGGAAAGGAGGATGGTATAGTTCAGATGACTATTCAGCAGTGGAATGGAAACATTCTTGAAATGGCCTTTCTTTCATGCTGTGTTTGAGAAAGAAGGATATTCTTTCTGGCAAGTTAGACTTGATCAGTTAAGTGTCTAAATCCTTGTGAATGACCGTCCATAGATTTAAATGTTTCCTTTCTTTTCTTGTCACTGTGCTTTGTTGTCTCATTCTTTTGTTACCACAATTTTGTTTCAGTGAATCAGAAGTTGGGGAAATTAAGTACTTTGTATGAACAGACTGTCGTCTTTTAAAACTTTTGATTAAGGTGGTCTTAAGAGTGAAAGAGCATATGCCTTTAAACAAGTATCAGTGCAAGTTTTGTTGTAACTTGGTGTGTAGGTTAAAGTGATATCATAATGTAGCTTCAAGCTCACAAAGCTTATTTAGAACTCCTTCATTTATTTAAACTCTATTGGAGCGCCTTCTCATAATGTCCTTTATTTATTCTTCCTGCTAAGTGAAATATTGCTGTGTGGTAAATTAGGAACATAATGGATGCTAGTAGGTAGGTAGAGGAAGTGATGCCCCAGGGTTACTGCAAATGTTTTGTGTTAGTTTCATTTCATAAATATGCTGGGCATGCCAAGTTGTATTTTCAGTTTAATTTTCATCATAGTGTATTGACTTGAGCATCCAGCTTCCTCCAGTTTTGAATCCAATCTATCATAATTCCTATCATGTAGAAGAATGCTTGCCCTGTTGCCTTGTTTTTTGGCACTTTGCCATGTTTTTTTGGCTGGTGAACCTGTTCTGTAAACTCAGAGTAGCTCCCGGGCTGAAAATAGATGTATCATTTTATTTTATTTTTGGCAGAGAGCTTATAGTTCCATCATTCAGGCACTTCATATTGCAGCATCCGGTGGGGTGGTTTTTTTCGAACTTGACATGTCAGAATGACCAAATGCCGATGTCCTGCCAGTTGTAGTGCTGCCAGCCTACCTCGCTTGACAAATTCCTGTTCCTGGGCATGAGAGTTGAATGTTTTATGAATTCCACACCCCACTTGAGTCAGTTTGTCATTTGAGTTTTCTCTTAACAAATCCTGGCACGTACTTCAGTGACAGAAACTTTCTGGTGCTTTTCTTCTTCTTGCCTGCACCACTTTGGCTTATTTAACCCTTCTGTTGTTAAATGTTGGGTTGTGTTTTTTTCCAGACCGTGTAATGCTGTAGCGGGTGCTTTGTGTGTTTTAGGGGGAAATAGTTGCTTGGATGTGGTTTGGTTTTAGTTGTGTGCCACCCTTCCACCCTGCCCCCAGCCTTGAAGCTCCTCTGGTGCATTTAAAGGTTTGTCCTCTTTGAACTTGTCCAGGTTGGCTTCTGTTGCAGTATCACTGTGGTGCTCCTGTGGGCTGCTCCATCTGTCACAGGCCTGGGAACACTGCTTGTCTGCCTGCCTGGATGCTGGACACCATTGGACAGTTTCATTTGGGGTTATTTCTACCTTTGTGATTTCTCTTCTTCATTTACTAAACAGAAGTGGCGTATGAAATGAGTAACTAGCATTGAGTGAGAATCTTCTGGCTGATTGACTTCAAAAGCACTTTTTTTTTTTTTGACTGATCAGCTTCAAGTGCACTTTGTTTTCATGGATGCAAAAGAGCTGTAACTGACAAGGCAGAGAGGCTGATGAGTCTTGAGTTGCAAAAGCGCAGATTTCTGTCAGTGAAACAGAGCAAGAACACTCCGTGCTCTGGTCTCTTGAAGACAGAAAGTGGTCCAGTGCTCTAGGTCTCTTTCCAGATCTTTAATCCAGCGCCAAAGATCAGTTCTGCAGTGGTTCACACAGCACAGGAGTTTCTGAATGAACAAAGTCAGTGTCCTTCAAGTGATCTCTGGCCTGATCTAAATGATCTCTATTGGAAATATTGCTCTTTGGGTATTTTTGTAGCAGGAGACTGAACAGATGTTTCCTCCAAAAAAAAACCCCAAATCATTTCATTCACCAGGGAATAGAAGCTGTCAGTCTATGGCTGTACTCAGTAAGGGGGAGGACATGACACACAGGCTGGCTAGTGACACCAGCCTGCACCCACTGCTTAGGTATAATTTCTGTATCAAATTGAAGGCATTGTCTGTCTTTTAGGTGGTATCACAGACTTATCTCCATGCCTCATAACAGCTATAGCTGGGTTTTGCCCTCCCTTTCCCTCATGTCCCTGCTCTTGCAGTCACAGTAGCTGTGGTGTTTTTCTTTATCTGTTCTGTGTTTAAGTGTAAGCAGAGACTTCATGATCTGGGATGATCTTGGAGTGGATGGGAATTTTTTTTAAAAAAAAAAAAAAAAGAAGAGGGGGAGGCCAGGATGTGAGAGGGAGATTGCTTAAATGTAATCTAGAACTATTCAGTGTTTCAGGTTTGCTTTTGGAGTGCAGATACAAATTAAGTCTGTTAAAGGCTTATCCCAGTTTTGTCCCTTTCCTTTAGTTATTGCAAGTATCCATAGAAGTAAGGCTATCAAGCTTAAGTGAATTTGGACACAGTGTCTTCAGATTGCCTGAAAAATGCAAATTAACTAATGTCCGAGATGTAAGGCAAATAGACAAACAGTGAAAGGTATGGTTGAGAAGAGAGCATTGAAAATTAGAGTGATGGGTTGTGAATAAGTTGAATGGTGCCTCCTTTTGTTGCAAAGTGTCCCCCTTATTTCAGTAACCTTGTTAACTGTAAAGCTTCAGGAGATAACGTCTAATCTTGTGTTTCTTCACAAACTGCATCCCTTGGAGTCAATAATCACAATTATCCCTTTATTTTTACACACCTTCAGTTGTCCTGGGTCTTCCGCTGCTATTGGCTTTTAACTTCAAGACATTCTCTGTATTTAACTCCTGCAAACACAGCAAACTTACCATTGATGCCCCAGCTCCTTCAAAAGGCTGAGAGAGGGGCAGGAAATTCTGCTGTTTATCTTTCTGTGGAATGAGATGGGGGAAAAGCAGAAAATGCCACCCAGATAATTGAAAATTTCCAGTTTGTGGCAGGTCTGGGGGGGGGTGTGTATAAATATATATATATATATATATATTTATACACATGCATGCATATATATATAGGGACATAGATTGCTGCATGACACTCTTGTAACCACAGAGTAGAGTGAAATCTAGGGGCATCTGATCTTCTCCTTGCAAAAAGAAAACATAAAATGCTGATGACATCTTGTGATCTACTTTTCTTTTAAAATTGCCTCACTAAGTGTGACTGAGCAACAAGCTATTTTCTTTCTTTCTTTTCTCAAATTGCCATGTAGTGTGAACCCTTTTTAAGCCTGGAGAAGCAGAAGTGATAGCTGTTGGATGTAATTCCAACAAGCAGATAATTTGTTAGGTAGTTTAGATGTAGTTGTATGGTGATGCCTCTAGCATGTGTGCAACAGCAGAGGCTTTGTGATGGTTCTCTTAATTCTGTAAACAGAATCAAAACGTGTCTTTGGCCTTTTTATAACTGAAGTTACTATCATTTCTATGTATGTATAAATAAAGTATTTACATGTGATTCCTTTTTAAAGTATCAATTATGAGAAGAATATTGGCGTGATAACTTCAGAATAAATTGCAAAATAACTATCTCTTTGAACATGTTAACTACTCAAAGGTTTATATGATTTGGTGATAGGCATTAAATTGTTGGCTTTTCAGCAGTTAAAGGAGACATAGATAATTTATTAATTGTTCCTCTAAAAATAGTAGAACAATTGCAACTAATGCATGGATTAGAAAAGTCAAAGGGGTTGAATTGCCACCCCCTCATAAAGTCTGTTAATTACCTTAATTCAACAAAGGATGAGCAGTATAAAGTTGCAATGCATGTGCAACATGTAAGAGAAAATAGTGCCAGTCTTTCATTCTGATAAAAGAACAGCAGAATGAGAAGACACAGATGTCTGCTTGGTGGGAACAGCCACAATTTAATCTTCATCCTCCCACCCCCCAGCACTACAGTATGAGAGGGGAATGTAACCATTTTCAGCACCTGTTTATTGGGGCTTCTTACTATTTAATACTGAGTTATATGCCTTGAGCGTGTCTTCAGAGTTTGAGACTTTTGCTGCATCCATTACTCAAGGAATGTATTATTAGCTCATGCTTAGATTTATTAAAGGGGACCAGCTGCTAGGCAGGAAATGCTGCAAGAATAGCATTCCCTCGGTATGCTGGGGAATGCCCCTGGTTTTCCCCTAAATACCTGCAAAAGCCACTCCATTGATTTCAGAATTTAAACTTTCCTTGAAAGAGAAATAAAGATGCAGACAATAAAATATGGACCCTAGCCTTTAATGTAAGGAGCGCTGATAATGTAATCTGAGTTTACCTGGCATGATGCGCTAGCTGGGGAGTCAGCTGTCATTTTCTGGGTGTCGATAATGAACGTTGCTTTCGAATAGGGAGGGGTGTTTCCCCTGCCCTGCGTTTTGAACAGTCAGTTTTGACTTCACATTGGGTAGGTCTTCCCATCTACTATGGGTTTAGACAAGGCATCAGGGATAAGCTTGTAGTCTAGTACTGCTGAAAACTTTGTGTCCCATCTACCAGTTAACTTGGCTGTTGGTTATACGATTGACTATTGGCCATATAACCTACCAGTGAAGAGACTTGGTCCTTCAAGTGGGAGTTGCACTGCAGAAAATAATAGGGTTTCGTCCTTTCTGACACCCTTACGATATCTCTCGTTCACTTGTTTGTCCAATTTATTCTTTGGCACATAGGAAGCCATCTAGTATGGGTATTTTTGAGTGGTTCTGGGAATGGTGATACGGTAGTAGTGAAGAAGCGTGGCTGGTTATAGAGTGTATACTTCCCATCAGTTTGTGTTTAGCTTGAAAATTATTTTAGATTTTAAAAAAGTATGAGTGTGCTTTAATTTGCATATGAAGTACGCAGCTTAACGAGATACTAAGAATAAGACTGGACCCCCGCTTGCTTATACAGATGCAACATCAGAAGTCAGACTTCTACTTTCTGCTGATTTTACCAGTTCTAAGCTGGTGCTGCACATCCAATTTCAGATATTTATACTCCAGATATTTTCTTACTACAATTTGAGATGACAGTTTCTGCTAAAACCTTTTGAAAAATACACTGTGTATATTCATATGTTCATGTTACCTTTCTTCATATCCTGTCCTCCCTTATTTATGTGAATAAATGTGTGTATATTCCAGAACTGATTAGGTTCACCCAAGACTCTGTGAAAGTAAGCTTTTCTTCTAAATTCTGTTTCTCTTGCTGAGTCATCATTTTTTCCCCCAAAGTCATTGAGGCTGCTGTTATTTAAGTGCCATTTTATGCTAGACAATAAGGCTTTCTGAACAGAACTGTGACATTTTCCTTCACTGCGTAGCAAATGTGGTGCATTCGAGCATGAAAGATGAAGAAAGTACGAGTTATAGAAAGTATTTCTGTACTGATGGTGGTACAGGAGAACTCTTGCCCTGGTTATAAACCAACATAAAAGTGCTTTATGGTCCTTAAAAAGCAAGATGAGTGTCAATAGTGTATAAACAGCCTTTTATTGCACTGTAACTGCCTTCCGTTTGTGCTGTCGGAGCTTAATATGGTACTTAGATCTTTTAATGAATATTTTAAGCCTACCATCTCCGCTGGTGTAGGGTAGAGGAATACTGTTGCTACTCCATCTGTTTTTTATCTAAGTGCTGAAATATTGCCTTTAAGACTTGGCATGGTATATATAAGTGGATAGTAAACTGTTCTAACCAGTAGGTATGTTGACTAAATAATCAAACTCCTGAAGAAGGTGCTAATTACCACTAATTCTTGAAAAAAATTTGCTGAATGTCTGTTTTACAGGTATGTACCATATTCTGCCTATACTCTGTGGTGGCATAATCAGTCGTGACAGTTACAGGGTTGAAGCTGTAAAGAAGAGAAAGCTGTTGGTTGCTGGTCATAGAAATCTATATGTTGATTTTATAAAAACAAAACACACAACAATGAAACGGAAACAAACAAACCACAGTATACATTATTTTCCCAGGCTTTAATTAATTTATTGTCAGCATTACAGTAATTTCATTTTTATTACTCTTTGTTTTTAGGTTGCCTGAAGCTCAGCAGAGGGTTGGAGGATGTTTTCTAAATTTGATGCCACAAATGAAAAGCTTATACCTTGCATACTGTGCCAACCATCCATCAGCAGTAAATGTTCTCACAGAACACAGGTATGTTTGCTTTGTTCTCTTTTAAGTCTGATAGAAAAAAAGAGCATAAAATACACTTGCGTTGTAAAGCTGCGATATCTCTTTTGACATGCATTTGGTATGGTAGAGCTTCTTTAAGAAAAAAAAAGAATAGTAGTATATATTTTTTTTAAAAAGACAAAAAACCCCACAACACAAAGCTATTTGATGTGATCGGGACCAACTTGTCACTTTTGGCAGTGTGTTATCAACTATTTGAGACCATTTTCTCATTTAAAGAACACATACTGAACTCTTATTATGTATAACAAAGTGTACTGATTGTCATCTTTGTTTAAAAAAATGTCGAGATCAAAAGAAGCTTGTGGAATTATGACATAATTTACATGATTACTAGTAGACAGTGAATTATAACTCAGCACTGTAAAAGCCTGTACATTTGTATGTACTTAACTTTATAGTCCGTAGCTATAAACTTAACTTAGCTGTATGTTTAGCTTTACTTTTGAGTGATATGAAAGGAGTGTGAGCTTTTCAAGTTTACAAAACCAGTATTTTCCATGTGTAAGAAATAGGATGCTGAGTTAACATGATGGAGATTGCTCAGCTTTGGGACTGACCTCAGATTTGCATAGATGATGTCCTGTATCACCTTGAGGGAAGAAAGTTGAGGCCAGAATTTGATTAAAGAAGTCTGCTTTCACAAACTTGTCCTATGTATTCTCCTGATGATCATGTGCTGTAGCAGCTTTTAGTTTGGGGCACTTTCTATTTGCTTGTGGTGCAGGACAGAGCCATGACCTTCTCTTGAAGGTTAGACGCAGGACAAACTCTATCAGGATATCTCTTCTTTCTGCTTTTTTCCTACCTTTTTTTGTCTTCTTGTGAAGGACCAAACTAAAGATATTTTCAATATTCTTAACTCTTCCTAAACAAAGAGGAGCATAATTGCCTTGTTTTTTATAGTGTTGCTTCTTCCAAGAACTCATGTTGTGTTTTAACAGCAACAATATTTGGCACATTTGTGAGCTTTACTCATAACAGGATAAATAAAAAACCTTCTAGCTACCAAGTACTATGAACTATTGCTTATGTTAGTAAGACATTTGACTATATTCCAACCCCACTTTGAAAAATCAAGCTGCACATTCACGTTACAATTTAGGCAGAAAGAAGGTATGCTTATGTCAGAAGCAATGACAAATTAAAATCAAACAAGACAAAATACGTTTAAAACCCTCTGATGAAACCCCTTAGTGTTTTCTTTTAAATGGCTTACTTCTAGTACATCTTTCTGTAAATGGTAAAATATTTAGGTGATCCAAGCCTATGGGGTTTTTAATACTCTTAGGCTTAGATTTTTTTGTTTGTTTGTGCCTTTATGCTCTTTCCATACAGAGGTCTGGGATTTAATCTATAGATTGAAGATGGCAAATGATAGCAAAGTGATCACCTACATTTCTTAAAATTTGGAGATATTTGTAAAGGATTATCCTAACTTTCAGAACTCATGCAAAGCACAGGGAATAGCCATGTCTGAGAAACTGTGATGGAAATGGAAGGGAAGAAAGCTGTTTGTTCTGCAAATTGAGAAGAGAAGCATTTCTTCTCCCCTGTGTTGCTTTGCACATAGGTTGTCCTAAGAAAAAATTCACCTTCTGCTCTGTAAAGTCAGCTTGATATCAAGTCCTGGTGGAGTCAATATAAATACTGTAGAGCAGTTAAGTAATTTGCGTGTGGAAGTAGGTTCAAAGCAATTGTCTTGTTTGTAAGAGAGAGCTCAAGGTGAGGTAAGTTGTGATAAACAGCTTTGTTTAATGCTAATGTGTTGGCAGGCATGACTCCACAGAAGTGAATGATGATTTTTTTAATTACCCTTATTTTATTATTCTAAGCCCTTCATTTTTGTTGAACACCACTGCTGTAGGTAGCAAGTGGCTTGACTAAAAAGTCTGCTTGAGACAGCTGCCATGAAGAAATCGGAAGGTGGCTTTAAGCAGTTCTGAATGTTTTCCTCTCAGAATGCCAGAAAGCTTTTAATTACATTGCTTTAAAGGTCAAAAAAAACCCCACAGAACTTTTCTGCTGAGAATAACAAACTGATTGAATGTATGAAGAAAAGGAAAATCCTCCAAACTATCTCCTTGTCTGTTTAGTTGAGATGTTTTTATTGTGTGAAAGCATCCCTAAGTAAACCTTAATGTAGAACTTACGATGAGGTTTGAGGATAGTCATGATTGTAATAATAATGAAACGGCTACGCTGCAGTGAATACTAGATTAATATTGAACTGGAATTTTTCAGAGATGTCAAAGACCGAGGTTTAAGACTTCTAAGAAACAGTGATGATTTGTTGGCTGGTTTTGCTGTGTAGTTGTAGTAGAGAGTCCAAAAGCATTATATGTGTTTTAATACCAGCAGAAGTATGATAGAGAAATAGAAGTTTGCCGAATTCTTGGGTTTGAGTATCATGTTTATAACAGCTGTGCTATCGGCGGTTTAGAGAGGAAGAAGGAACAGTTTGGAGTGGTTTGATTTGGATCATAAATTCTTACTGTCTATAGCAGATTATTTCTTGCGTTGAACTCTGCACGCTTCATAAACTGAACACATATGCATTAACTATGCTTCTGAAAGCCTTTCTACAAAAAAACCTAGCAGATAATTTTAAGTCAGATTCTTATATCACAGAATTAGTATTTTCTGCAGTTTATTAAGTTTACTTGCTTTCGGTGAGAACCATACCAACAAAAATGAAACAAAAAAAATTCCTAGATTATTGCTCTAGGGGAAACTTCAGAAACTTTACCTCCACTTTGTTTTTTTATTTTATAAAATATAATAGTTTTATTATTGTATTTTTACTGTTGCTGACTAAAAACAACTTAGAGGAAAATGGCTATCATTTTGAAGCATTAACTGTATTGTTTCTTTAACCAGTTGGATCACTGTGACATCAAAATTCTAAGCAGTCATCTGATTTGATGGAATGTTACACATACTTCAGAAAATGACATATAAAAACCTCATATCAAGCATGCTTTTTGAGCAGTGTTGTAATACCTGTTAAAATGTTGTTCACACCTGGTAAAGACTGTGTGTGTATGCATATGTGTAGATAAAACCTGATGATATTAACTTACTCAGAATTATTTTGGACTTCTAGTCAAAAGCTTCTTTTTTTGAATGGCATTTTTGTGAAGTAGATTCTAAATAGCAGTAATTGGGATGGGGCTGGAGATTTAAAAGAGGCATTCAGTTGGAATGTGACTGTCTCTTTTTTTTCTTTTTTTTTTTAAATGTCATTCAGTATGAATGCCAGCCTGTGTTTCCTCTTTCTTTTTTGTCATTTGTTTCCTGATCATGTGTAGCAGTAACATGGGGGCTTTCATTTAATTACTACGAAATAAGAGGAGGTGTGCATATATATGTCCATATATGCGTGTGTTTATATAAATATACAGTCAGGGGTGAAGGGGGTTAATTATATTAATGAATAAGAGATTTTTCATGTTGAAAGCTTCAAAGCCACAAACATCTTTCATTTCCTTAAGTTATTTATTAATACTGAAATGAATATCATTAGGGACCTGATTGTATGTGAATATGCAGAAATGGGAATAAGACCTAATACAGCCTATATAGTTCAGGTTTCAGAGCTGCATGTTTCTGAGGTTGTATTTGCCTCCGATAATCACAACAACAAAAAAAATCTTTTTATTAAGTTTGGGAACATACTCTTTTCTTGGTTCCAGATGTGGCACTGTAAGTTTTATCCGGGTGTTAAAGTTGGTACTCAACATAATTTCTCAAATTTTAGACAGTCCTGAAATTTGTTTGGAATTTTTTGTCTCAGGAATTGTTTCAGAGCCATTGCATATTTTTTCCAGAATGTTTTTTTCTTCTGTGTAATAAATCGATTTTTTTTTTATTTTTTTTTTTTTTTTAAGAATTGAGTCATTTTTCCTTAGGTCTGTCATCATGTTGCGTAATTGTGTCTTAAGGCACTGGCTAGAGCTGCAGAGGTGGAGCTCAGCAGCTCACCAGGGTGGTGGCTTTTGCAGAGATCAGTGTCTTGCATGTTTCTGCCCCTGCCTCTTGGCTTGTTCTCCTGGTTCCCTTCTCTCAGTGTTGCTATAGTGCCACTGTACGTGATCTCTATTTTATTTACTTTGTTTCATAATAGTCATACCTCTTTGGCTGCAGTATATGAGGTTTCAGTGTGTAATATCCCTTGGGTTTTCTTTCTTGAGAATCCCAGTTCATGTCCAAGGGTAGGTGATCCAATACAATAATATGGTGTTATTTTTGGAGAGAATTTTGCTAGCTGTTGAGGGCAGGACTGCCTCGAGGGAGTAGTGTTTAGTCAAAGTAGAATTGATTGCTGTGTGTGCTTCTGATCGTAGACGTATGCTTGCTTTCCAGTGAGAGAAGAAAAAGGACGAGCAATCTAAGGCATGAAAGAATTAATTTCCCTCAAAGAAATTAAAAACCCCAGTTGGATACAAAGTACAGAAATGGATAATTGCAGTGGAGTAAGGAGTCCCAGGAACAAGAGATCTTACCTGCCTGGGGAGGATCACAAGCTGCTAAGTTCAGTGCAGGAGGAAACTCCAGAAAAGAAAAGAGGAGGTAGAAGCTAGGACTGGGGCTTTGTGGACTGTATCCCAAATGACACGAGGAAAGATATCTGAGTATAGAACTCGCTGAGGGATGGATAATACAGTGAAAATGAAAGTCTAACAGGCCCCACTGATCAGTGGTCATAAAACTCTTTTAAAGAAACACGGAGAGTACAGACCCAATGTAATCAGCACTAAGTATATAATTATTGGGGGGTGGGGTGGTCAGCTTTTTTACTTTGTTTAAACAATGCTATGTTTATTCTAAAATGGAAGAAAAATGTTTCTAGAAAAAATTTAATTTGATGAAAAGGCAGCGAAAAATTAGTAATATATGCCTGCTTTTTAAATTTTGCAAACTGGCAAGTGTCGACTCAGTTCTCAGATGGAAGAAGGCTA